GGTCACTGGTAGACGTACGCGCCCGATGACCTGGGCTGGCGCACCGGAAAACCCAATCAAAACCGAACTAGAAGGACGTACCAATTCAGGCGCCAGTTGCATGCGCTCAAACGTGCTCTTGAAGAGGACATCCATGGAGCTGCCAGTGTCAACTAACATCCTCTTCACTTTACATCCTGCTATCACCCCATGTATCTCCAAAGCTTCTTCTGATGGGATCTGGCACGCCTCGTCCGGCTCTTGGTTGAAGTTGATTTGCACTGCTTCCCTTGCTTCAATTGATGCGGATCTCAGGCGCCTTGACCTTTCCAACTTCTCCCTCAAGTCTACAGTGCCGGTTATGGATTCGACTGTGAGCCTGATGCGACTCGGCTTTCCCTCTTGGTCCACTTCAAACGGGGGGGGGGGGGGGGGGGGGCGGCATCATCGGGTCCTGTGGGGTCCTTGGCCTTTCAGGCGCCTCATGGGTCCTTGGGGCTTCATGCATCCTTGAGTTCCTCGGGACTTCCGGCGCCGTCACGTACGTCCGGTGGGTCCTGTCCTCCGCCCTCCTAACGAAGTCATTGAGCATGCCTTTGTCGGCTAAAGCCTGCAATTCGGCCTTAAGTTGGTAGCAGTCGGCCGTGTAGTGCCCCTTGTCGCGATGAAAGTCACAATACCTATCAAGGTTCTTCTCATTTGGTTGGCCGCGCATGGGTCCCGGCCACCGTATGTGGTAGCCCCTATCCTTCACGTACTGTAGTACGTTTTTTAGCGTATCATTATACTCCGTAAAATTGGCTGAGCTTCTCGGCATGGGGCGAGGCGCCTCGGGTCTTCTTTGCGGACCAAAATTCCCAGACGGTACCCGAGGCGCCTGTCTTGCCTCCAATTCGTCTCCCCTCACGCGCCTCTTTTCGGCTCTCCTCGCCGCCAACGTCTCCTCCAACATGATTACCTTCTGCACCCTTCGGTCAAGGTCTTCTGTGGACACCACATCCCGCTTAGAAAGGACTCGGCAGAGTTCTTCGCTCGAGGTACAAGCGTCTAAGCAAACCCCCAGTACCGCTGGTTGGACATCCTTGACCGCCATGGCCACAGAGATCCATCGGTCGTAAAATTCTCTAAGCGCCTCGCCTTCCCGCTGCTTTACCTTGAACAATGCGCCTATGGTTAGTGTCCGACGCTTCCTACTTGCGAATTTGGACAAAAATAACTCCGCAAACTGCTCAAAACACTCTATGCGCACCTCTTCGATTTGATGGTACCAATCCAATACTACGCCTGCAAACGTGGATGGGAACACCTTGCATAACGTGGCGTCTGAGCTGTTGTAAAGTTGCATCTTCGTGAAGTAGCTGTTCAAATGATCTTCCGGGTCCGCCACCCCGTCGTAACTGGGTAACGGGGGAATTGTGGTTCCCGCCGGTTCCACTAGGATGCCTCGCGCCAATGGTTGCCGGACTCCGAACCGCTTGGCGATTCTTCTAGGCGCCCACAAGTCTTCCGGCTCCGCCTGAGTATGCTCAGCGGGAATTTTCCAGGCGCGTGAACGCCTTGGTACGTCATGTCCTTGATCAGCTTGGTATGGGTGCCCGTGTTGCAAAGATTCCGAATCCTCCCCCATTCTTTCTCGCTTCCTCGCTCCTGGGCTATGCATCATCACGTCTTCACTTCGCTCCCCATCCAACTCCCTTCTGAGCGCCGCGATGGCCCGATCTTGGTCGGCTATGATTCGAAATAGCTCTCTCTTCGTCAAAGATTCCCCTTCGTCCGCCGATAGGCGCCCAGGGCTCGCTTCCCCTTCCGCCTCCATGTTCAAATCCCGGCTCGGTTGCTGCTCGCCTTCCTCATGACTCGAATTGTTCAACCTCGAGGCGTCTTCCCCGTCGTTCGCAACGTTCAAGTTTTCCATTCTTCTCGCCCCCCTACCTGGCGCGCCAATTGTTGGTGCCAAGTTCCACGTGTCCCACCCCTCTCGATCTCGACCCTTTCGTACTCAACAGGGACGCCCGGATCCTGCAAGGACAAGCGCCCAAAGGGCTAGGAAATGCCCGTTAGCACTCCGACGCCCAAATCAGAACTAAGTCTAGAGAGTGAAGTATAAGGCCGAGTTTTTGTCTGATCAGCCAACCTGCCTAAATGCTATCGACTGCCCCTATTTATACTCACCGAGCCCGAGGTTGATCTCCGCCACGTCACCATTCTCATTTAATGCTCTGCGCCCCCAGACAGCTAACCGCCCTGTCAGACTCCTGACACCTGACTGGCATCCCACAGCTCTGCCAGGCTCCTGACACACGACAGGCGCCCGCAGGCCGTGGACCACCAGCCAGTTGGCCGCCACCTGGCTTTTGGTGCTCTGTGAGACAGCTAACCGCCCTGTCAGACTCCTGACACCTGATACATGACAGGCGCCCGCAGGCCGTGGTCCACCAGCCGGTTGGCCGCCACCTGGCTTTTGGTGCTTTACTCTTGAGGTCCCTTCTCTTTGTTTGGGCCCAAGGGCCACTAGTGGATATTGATTCTTACCTTTTGGGCTTTGCCCCCCAACTCCTTCTTTGGGAGCCCAATCTCCTAGCTTGCTGGGTAATACTCCCAACAGTCATTCCCCATCATCCGATGTGGATGCTCGATCCGACGCCGACTTTCGGATGGCGGCGACTGGTCTGTCTGTCTGTGTCGAACGCGATCCGCACGTCGGCGTCTGACGAAAGTGACTTTTTCATTCCCAAAAAATCGATAATGGATTCATAATTTATATACAGTATTTAAATATTGTATTAAATACCGATATGTCTCTATTTAACCCACATTTATATATATCCATTTCCCTAACTAACAATGTAAATTACGTAATAATGAGAATAATTAAATGAGACAATATATGGAAATAATCCTAATTAACAATCATTCATCCCTAATTAACAACCATGCCACTTCTTGTCTTCATTTGAATGAATACAATGTAAAATGTTGTATTAAATAATTGGCCATAGCCATAACTTTCACGGTTTTGACAATAATAGGCACTTTTAGAAAATACACTAAAATAGCCATTCCCTCCATAACTTTAACGACATTGAGATAGACGCTGATTGAACTAACGATTTTTTATAGACTTGGCAATCAGGTCGGGTTGGGTAATTTCGGGTTGGAAATCTCGGGTTACGGGTCTTCACAGGTCGGGTCATGTTGGATTTGCTGATTCCGGGTCAAATATTGAGCCAACCCATCAAGTTTCGGGTCGGGTTTCGGGTCATTTCGGGTTATGAGCGTTCTCAGAAACAATATCAAATATGTTTCATAAATTTTTAAAGAACACAATTTTTTACATATGGGTGACAATAATTTTCCTAGCACATGTTAATTAACAAAAGCTCAACTCCTTCCTTGCTAATGAAAAGAAATAAAAATTGCACAAATCGTGAAAAAACAATGACGAAAATAATACTAATAAAATAAACAAATGATGTTTGATTATCTTTACACTCACTACTTATCTTTCAAATCCATATGAATTTTTTTTAACATCTCACCAAAGTATGAGAGATTTTATCATTTTGAGAGTGACATATACAATGGAACGGGTCTAGCGGGTCGACCCAAAAACCAACCCAACCCAAAAATTATGGGTTAATCGGTTCCGGGTCATTCCGGTTTCGGATTAAAAAGACCTCAACCCATTCTCTATTTTTCGGGCGGGTTCGGGTCGTGTTCTCATTTGCCAGGTCTAAATTTTTATGACGTGGCAACTTTTTGTCAAAAGCTTTGCCACGTGGAAATATGCTTTAAATTACAATTAATTAGAATAAATAAATAAATAAAATAAAATAAAAAAATAGAGACATCCGAAGCTGGAGAAATCCCTAGAGAAGAAATCCGATTAAGTGCAAAAGAAAATAAATTAAATTAATTTTTTATATTTTTTAATGAATGTAAAAATGAGGTGGAAATTTTAAATAATTAAATTTATTATTATTTTATTTTTAATGGCCATGTCACACATTTAACGGTCAACTATCAAAGTTGATTGTCACGTCAGATAAAGTTAACGAAGACTAACGGAGAGTGACCAAACTTGCACCGTTAAACTAATTTAGGTGACTACGGATGTAATAAATTAATTTTAGTGACAAATGTGAACTTATTATATAATTCGAGTGATCAAACTTGCAATTTACTTATAATTTTTTTTGCCAAATGTAAACTTTTTGCCCTAAGTTATAACTGTTTTTATTGTTGCCTTTATCTTGTCGATACAAACCGTTTGGTATCAAATGAATCTAGAAGTCATTTCATTGTAAAATGAATTAACGTATAGATTTTATTTTCAAATGAAATCTTGTGTTTGGTATGTCATATTCAAATCTTTAGAAATAAAATGAATTGTCGTGTAAAATTCATTGTCAAATGAATTTTTGTGTATGGTATGCCATAGGAATAAGTAATTTAGTTAATAAAAGATGATAATTACATAATTCTATTATAATTAGTAAAATACTGTTGGAATTCATTTGGAAATTCCATCTCAATTTCTCGGAATTGTTACAACTAATTTCAATTCCATAAAATTCAAAATTTAGAATTGAAAATGAATTCTTTTAAATACCAAATACAAAAATGTTTCATTTCAAAATAGATTTCTTTAAACTTATGAAATTCATTTTTAAACTTATGAAATTCATTTATATTAAACGTTAAGTTAGCAAAAATTGGAAATTTGTTACGCCCAATCCGATTCATCCGACTTGTTATGCCATATTGCACTCACGAAGAAAAGTACAAAGGAAACCAAGGACAAATAAAATTAATATAATTAAAAAATAATACTTGAGTCAGGCAGACTGAGTTGTGCCGAACCGGGTGGGGATCCGATTCGGTAGGGGTGAGTCACTGAGTGGGACAGGAAATGAGGGAGAAAGGCAACTCGTTCAACTTTTTGGTCAAGTTGTGTATTTTAAGGTTTACAAAGCACTGTCTGTTGACTGTAGCTGTAAGGCGAGCAGTGGGTGGGGAGTGAGGTGGGGAAGGGCCACGAAAGCCAGAGAGAGGGAGAGGGGGAATGGCCAGGAACAGGAAGGAAGCCGGGCTTAGGGTTTGACTGAGTGGGGGAAGGAAGCCGAAGAAGAGAGCAAAAAGCGAAGAAATTCAGAAGAAGACTGGAAGGTGGCTGGCGGTGGTGGTTTAGATCTGAGACCCCGAGGAAATTGTATTTCTTTTTCTTTCCCTTTCTTTTTCAATCGGGTCTTATCATTCTACATCATGATCTGATTGACCATTTCTGTATCTCTCCTCTTTTTCTCTCTCTGTCCATCCCACTCACTCACTATAATTACCCAAAAAGTCGCAAAACCCCAACTGAAAAATGCCTTCTAGGCCTTACTTCCACAAGATAATTCTCCCCAGAACCCTTCAGGACAGGAAGCTGGTAACAGTAACACCAATCTCTTCTCTTTCTATTGTTTCTCTCTTCTGCTCTGAACTGGGTTTATCTTTTGGGGATTTTACACTGCGATTGGATTTTTTTTTCTCCAGCTGATGTCACTGTTACATGCTAGTTTAATTTTGGTGGGTTTTGATTGTTGATGAGTGCGGTGAAGTGGTAGCTGTTTCCAATTTCATGTTATAGAAGATTGTGTTTGAGTTTCTTTTAACTGCTATGTATGTTGCAGAGGCAAAGAGGAATGTGAATTCTAGACAATTAGACTTATTTTTTCTGTCATTACTCAATGTGGAGAACATTTCCTAGGTTGATTTCAGTAGGTTGCAAGTTTGTCTTTAGAATGGCTGAAGTGAATTTAGTCTGTGGTACTTTCACCACTGCTTCTGGTAATACGTATAAGTTAATAACTGAGAAAGAGTCTGAAAGTTTCCTTCCTGACTTCAGAATCTGATATCACTTGCCTTGTTTTTCATTTTAAAATTTGTTAACCTTTTCCACAAAATGGTAGCTGAAGATCATGGGCAATGGTCAGGTGTCAACTGCAAACATCAAATAAGAAACAGTACTGCATGTGTTGTATATGCAACTCTGCTATTTCACCTCTTAAATTGTTTATACGATCCTTATGTTGCAGCTTCTCTTCCTGAATTGTAGAAATCCATTAATATGGAGCATTGGAATGGGCATTGCCTTCACTAGCGCTCTCGTTCTCTGATCTCAAATGTGTCTGGATCCCCTAAAGTTGCAATTTTTGCTTTCTTTTGTTAAATGGGTACAAACACATAGGGATATTATGTTATACGTGAGTTTTCTTTCCTCACTGTGTATGACATATCTAAACTGCAGTATCCTCAAACTTGTCCCATTTGGCACATTTTCTTGACATAAGAGATATGTGCAATTCGAGTATTTTGGTCAGTACAGAAATAACTAAGAACCGATTCTTATTCTAGAACTCATCCATCATTCTCCAAAAGCCTTTGAACGTGAATTTTGCTGCAGAAGAAGTCTTGCAGTTTTACATCATTGATGTTATGATATCATCAGCTCCTTGTTTTTGGGTGCATTACTCTACTGCATTTGTTTGATTCCTTCTCTTCCCATTTCTTTTCACTTGACTTCACTGTAACTAGTACACCATTTTCCTGGAGTGTGCTGATCAGGACTTGACAACTGATTGTCCTTTGTTGTGTCCTCATGAAAATTTTCTTCTTGGAGTATGCTTAAGGAAAGAATTGAGCCTAACTTAACTTAGCTGTATGCAGAGGATCCCAGATAACTTTATCAAGAAATTTGCAAATGACCTCACTCCACTTGTCAGGCTCACTGTTCCGGATGGTCATGTGTGGCGTATAGGAATAGTAAAAGCTGACGATAAGTTTTGGTTTCACGATGGGTGGCATGATTTTGTTGAGAGTTACAAGATTCGTGTTGGCTACTTGCTGATTTTCAGATATGAAGGAAATGCAATCTTCAATGTTCATATATTCAATTTGTCTGCTTCTGAGATAAACTATCAAACTAACACTCTCAGTGGGAAAAGATGCCTTCTATTTGATGATTTGGAAGACGAGGACTCTGCCGATTACTTGAATCCATTGTCAGTTTACCAAGTTCCCTACACAATGAAAGGTTAGTTCTTTCCGCTAGATACAATTGATAAACTGAACAATATTTTCTGACTTCAACACAACTCTGATCTGCTAACTTGCTGTGCGAAGGAAATCCGCATTTGACAAGAGTAACGAATGTTCCACAACCAACAACTCAGCCCGCTGGGGATGGGAATCTTCAGTTTAATGCATTTGATCAACGAAATGCTTCAGATGCGCCACCACCAGCAGCCGTAAAAGTTCCCAAGAAACGTGGAAGAAAAAGGATAAAGCCTGATCCGAGTAAGTTCAGGGAATTCACCCCTTCTTTCAGCTAGTCTTTGATTTGGAATTACTATTAATTTCGGCTCTTAACACAAAAAGATGCAGATGAGCAACAACCACCCTCCTCCCCAAAATCCCAAGAAGATGGAGAAATGCGCTTGAGATTCTACAAAAGTGCCTCGGCGAGGAAGAGAACTGTGACGGCTGAGGAAAGGGAAAGAGCGGTAAATGCAGCCAAAACATTTGAGCCAGAAAATCCTTTCTGCAGGGTTGTGTTGCGACCATCTTATTTGTACAGAGGTTGCATTATGGTGAGCTACTTGAAACTCATAAGTTCGTTGCTTTTCTCTCAACCATCTTTATCCTGGGTCTGGTGCCTATTTGAGAAGTATAGCAAATATTAGACTAGCTAATCTGTTGGAAAAATTGTTAAATAAGTAATGATGGCAAGCTGGTTATTTCTTATCAACTGGAGACGCCAACTGATCGTTACTTGCGTTTCCAGTATCTACCATCCTGCTTTGCAGAAAAGCATCTCAATGGAGTTTCTGGATTCATCAAGCTTCAGTTCACCGATGGGAAGCAGTGGCCTGTTCGATGTCTTTATAGAGGAGGGAGAGCTAAACTGAGCCAGGGATGGTACGAGTTCACGTTGGAGAACAATATGGGCGAAGGAGATGTCTGCGTTTTTGAGCTGATGAAATCGAGGGATGTTTTGCTGAAAGTTACTGTGTTCCGAGTCATGGACACTGCTGGCAACTACCTCAACCACCATCGATCTTCTCCTCCTACTCCTTTGGGGCACTAGAATCTTAAGCTGGGGATCCGCATCATAGATCAGGAAGGCTGGAAGTGGTGAGGACTTCGTTCCTCTCTCGTTGCTGTTGATGATTGTCTATCATGATCTGTTATGGAAGGCTCTCTGCTGGCACGTTTCCTTCTGCTACTTGCAATCCTGTTGATGATTGTCTATATAAGAAAGAAAGAAAGAAAGAACCACCATATGCAAATTAGCAGGAAGCTTCTTCACTTGTTATTTTAGGGGTGCTTTTTCCGCATCGATTTTTGTGTGGGTTTGATTAGGGCTGTAAATAGGTTGTTCAATCAAAGAAGACATCAAGCTGGACCAGGACCATCAGATCTTTGCGTGGCAGCTATGATTCATGTTTAAATTTTTATGCTTGATTCCATTCTCATTAGGGTTTATGGTTGGTTTGTCTACCCTGTTTTCTTCACTGTTTAGACTCTTAGAACACTCTTTTGGGTTGCACTACCGTCATGCTGGTTTGCAAGTAATATGTGGAGTACTAACGACAAATTTACTAATGACGTGATGAAAGGTAGAGATGTGCCATCTTAACCAACACTTCCCCTATAGCATTATTATTATTATTAGAATTATTAAGCCACAAGCAGACAAAATTTACCAAAACCGAGATTTACTGTTCATTACGAAAAAATCGCGTGTCACTGTTCACGAAGAGACATGATGATTGACTGCAGTCGTACCTACGTGAGCTCATCTTTGGGTAAGCCAAGTCTGGCCGTTGATTTATACAAAACATGACCGTTGATAAAAGTCCTCATCGTGGGCCCCGTGCCTCTTCTCTCTATTCTTCTACGTCAAATCAAAACCCACTGCCACAGTGCCACCTCTCTCCTCTCTCATGTAGAACTCTCCCTTTCAAGTGGAACTCCTCTCTCATGTAGAACTCTCCCTTTCAAGTGGAACTTTTCCTTCCCCATCCTTTCTCTGCTCACATTTTCCCATGACAAAGTAAAGGCAATATTAATTAGTGGGAGGATTAGTTCTCCATCTCTGAATGCCCTCAATGGCTGCTGGAAGACGAATCGATGCTGAGGGAAGATACGCCATTGTTTTCCTCCTCTTTACCAATCCCTTCCCATCTCAACCTGCCATCTTCTCTCCAATCCCTTCCCATCTCAATATCCGATCCAGAACCTGCCATCTTCTCATTCCCCGTCATCTCTAACCTCCGACCAGACAAAGACCCTTCTATCCCATCTCTTCTCTTTCCATTCCCCGATTCACAAACGCCGGCAGGAGATTGTGGCGACAACAGATTTTCCATCTCCGAACCCGCTGTTTGGACGCCGAAAAACGGCACTTGATTTCCCCTCTCTCTCACCTCCCTGAACCTGCTGAATGTCACGGCGGAGGGAGACGGTGGAGTCGAAAGACACGGCGGCGGAAGAAGGAGGGGACGAATTTCTTGGCGGCTAGCCAAATCAGGTTCTTCATTCGTGTTGTTCCCTTCCTATGCCACCCACCTCCTTCGTTTCCCCTTCCAAATCAAGCTCCTCGATTTGAAGACGGAGATTCTTCCCTCCATCTGGGTTGATTTAGCATCTGTTGGATTTCAGGGGAAGGGGAAAGGGGTTATCTCCATTTCTCAGTGATTCTTTTGATGGACGATTCTTTGGAGGTGATTAGAAGTTTAATTAGTTGTTTGTTCTTCATTTGATTAAACTCATTCTAATTGTTTGTCGGATATCTATATGATTTGAGTGTGGTTACATATACTGATTTTCAGGGAAGCTGAGGTACCAGTTGAATGGGAATAACATTATGTCGGGACTGAGGTAGATCCTCAAACCCAGACCTTTTTGACATGGTAAAGTTTGGAGTCTGTGAGAAGAAACCGAGTGGATTTGAAAGGGCCAGTGGCTACAGCAATTGGAAAGGGCCATCATTCTTGAATCTCACTCTCAGGGAAGAACTTAACCTGTATGCCAATGTCAGGCCTTGCTACAGCCTTCCGGGTTACAAAGCCCGATAAAATGATGTGAATCTCATCACCATTCGTGAGAGCACTGAATGATAATACAGTGGACTTGAGCACCAAGTGAGTTTTCTATCTGGCTTTGGTTAACTTGCAGCTAGGCAATTATATGTCTTAATGAACTTTGACATAATGATGATTTTGGAAGGTAGGCGGTAAGATGTGTAGTTGAAAGCCTCAAGATCATTGCTCGCCAGGCCAGTTTGAGGGTGGCTGAATATGCTTTCCACTATGCAAAGGCTAACATCATTAAGGGGATATTATATGGACATAAGTCGTCAGGAGATCAGAGTTCAGGCCTTAACTTCTTACCAGTGGCATTTCTCTTTCACTTGGAAAGGTAAGAAAACGGATATTTGAATCGTATTGCTAGAATCATTGTAGTGCAGTTCTATTGATACTACATTAAGAATCAATTAAGTAGATGTTTTCATCCATTAGGGACTGCATAATGAGATACATCGATGTGTGCGTTAGGTGATTTCCCCAAGCCTCATAATTCTATACTAGTTTTTTGGCCCGCGCTTCGCGGCGGTTATAAACTAATTATTTTTGGTAATAAAATATCAAGTAAATTATTCCCAAAATATTTCAAGTTAAGTACTTCTATAAGTTTTACTTAGTATCTTAATTATTACAGAGGACTCAGGTAAAACGTTTGTTTGATTGATGCAATAGAAAATAACTATCCCTTCAACCTTTATAAGTTTTACATATATAATTATCCCTTCAACCTTTTATTATTTTAATAACTATTATATAACGGTGTTACGTAATCTTCCATAATGTTTGGTTTAATAATAAAACCAAGTTACAAATCCCACATTTGATTAAACTATTATATAATGTTGAGTTATCTTACAGAAGTTTTAATTCGTTTAATCCAAATTGATGAGATGATGAATAAGGTAGGTAATAAAAAAGAAATATGGTTAATAATAAGTCAATAATTTGTAAAAAAGTATCACATTTGATTAATCTGTTATGTAATATAACAAATAATGTACCTTAAAAACCTTTATGTAAAGCAATTGATGAGATAGTAATAAAAATTTAGTACTAATTTAGCAATTTTCAAACTTATATCACAAAAGACTTAAAGTGATATGTTTGTTTAATTGACACATAAGAAATTTTTATCTCTCTGTAAGATTTGTGTATTTACTTTGGTATTAAGACATATATTATACGTTCTGTTTAATTGATACATAAGAAATAACTATCTTTCTGTAAGATTTATTTAATGTCTAAGTTACGTAATTGTTTAGAACAGTGCTAGATAAATCTTTCGTAGTGTCTGGTATAATAATAAAATCAAGTCATCAAATTATTTTGTCTGACATAAGACTACATACCAACATCTTATCACTATCATACCAACATCATATCAATAACATAACACTATCTATCAACATTATGATGTATTAAGTTATCAAATTATTTAGCTAATGTATTAAGTTAGGTAATTGTTATAGAATGGTGTTAAATAAATCTTCTTTAGTGTATGTTTTACCAATATCATATCACTATTATATCAACATCATACCACTATGATATAATATCACAGTCAGGGGCGGACCTAAGGCAAGGGAGGGTGTGTCAGACCGAGAATTTAGGAAGGACCAACATATTTCCGGTGCAAAAATTTTAAGTTCGACACTTCAGACAACCCTTTGATAATTATAGCCGACACACCCTCATTAGACTCGAAGAATTTTATTATTTAAATGAATCAATCTTAAATTTTAATTAACAATAATTCCTTTTTAATTTATTTGAAATAACTCATAATCCTATCAATTATTATTAAAAAAACTCACAGACTATATGTCCATATCAACGTACATGTGTGCTGAGCCTGGTTCTTTCATTAAGGGAGAAACAAAAAAACCACCAAAGTCCAAGCGGGCATTGTTGGGACCCACCAGAATACTTATTTTTGAAGTTGGTATTGACTTTATATGTTGCAACTGCAAGCTGGAAAAGAGCATTTTCAGTTACAAAAAAACCACCAAAGTCCAAGCGGCCACTAATACTTATACCATTATTGTTTCACAGGTATCGAATCAGGCTAATTGTGCATGATGGTAATGATCAAGCAACATTCCTTCTCATAGGAGCATCTGCAGACAAATTCCTACCACGCACAGCTTCAGAAGTTAATGAAATATACCCGGATGGAACTGGAATATTACCACCTGATATTGAAGCTCTAGCTGGTCATAACTTGGAATTTGAGATCCAACTTCCCAAAGAAAACAACAATGGTGTTGTAGGCGACTTCATAGTCACTAGCATCAAGGGACTTCCCCATCAAACTGGAAAAACGGGAAAACAAAGCCTACTGAAATCAGAATTCTCAAACAGGTGCGTTACACTAGGATATATTATTATTATTATTATTATTATCATCATCATCATTAGAGTTGTTACACTATTCCTATAATTTTGTCTAAATAATATCTTATAACTCCAAATGCATTTTAGGCCATTGCAAATTGAATCACATGCAAAGCCAATATCAAATGCTGGCTTCCCATTACTTGAAGCAAGTGAAATTAAAAAAGAAGACGATAAAGGGTACAGTCTTATCATCTTTGCCTTATTTACGTAAAATTATCTAGATTCATTCGAGCAACTTCATTCCTTAGGCTTTGCATATTATTAAATTATTATTCATAATAAAAGCCTATAAATTACAACGACAGGAACAATGAAGTTACTCCAAGTGCCAACAAGAAAAGGAAAGCAGCCCCAAGAGTTAATGCATCCAAAAGAAGTGGGAAAAGGTAATCATCTGTACAATCAGACTCAAAACTTGAAGCAAATTGCATTGAGATGGCTCTTATCATTGAATTCTAATAATGTCATATATGGTGGTACATATTGTAAAATTAATTAGGACAACCCAAACACCTGTCACGAAGGTAAATGGAGTCAACAATGTTGATTCAGCATCCTCTGACGATGAACAATGTCTGTCTAAGCTGCTGCAAAACACCAAAAGAAGCAAAAGTAACCAATCTGCAGATGACGAAGACAACAAAGAAACTCTAAACACCAGGAAAACAAGGTACAAAATCTGAGTTCTTCTAATCAATTATTTACCTTTTGGTATTGTCTAGGGATGCAATATTATATCATTCTAATACATGTTATTGTTCGGTTCAGTACATGCACAACAAAGACTGGGACAAAAAAGACCAAAGCTGCTTCGGTCGAAACAGATGCAGAGCACGCAGTTGTCGAAGTTGGAGTGAAGAAAACCAAAAGTTGCAGTGCTTTGACGGATTCAGATCCTAAAGATCCACCAACTTCTACTGAAGTTAAGACGAAACGCAAGCGTCAGCCGGTGAAAAAATATGCTCAAGCTTAGGGATGGAATGCTTCGGCTTACTTAGTGTTGCAATTTTAATGTTTTTTTCTGATAAACATATTTCAGTACCTCTGGAACAATTTGGTTATATGGTTTGGAAACTCTGATTTTGATTCGGCCTCTTATAAATACAATTTTATCAATTTCTGTCAGTTTGGGAAAGGTTTATATATATATGATAATATTTATTACCTTAATGACAAAGGATTCATTCAATCGATGCATTGTATACTGGATCGTTCATAGACAGGAAAATGAAAGACTCATACCACCTGCCACCATCTTGCTGCGTTTCAATCCCTACTCTCCTCCCCTTTTTCGTAATCTAAAGAGCATAAGTGCATTTATAACAAATTTCAAAGAATTCCCAAGACTCATACACTCTAAGCCCACGAGTAAAAGCTAGGAAAACATAACTTCAGCACGATACAACAAATTTTGAGTTCCGTTAGTTCCTTCTCTGTTACTAACTTTCTGCACAAGAACTTCATCCACTATTCTGTCATATCTGCAAACCTGTAACAAACAAACCTTTTCATTAAACGTAAAGCTCCACCCCAGTCAAGCAAAGATCGTATTTAAATTCACAGAATAAACAATTATAAAAAAGCAACTTCTACTTTAAGCTGTAGGCAAGCACAAATCGTCAACAAAACAAACAAGGAAAAGGACATCCCATTCAACTCCTCTTCTGAAAAGGCAGAACAACCTTCTAGCTAAAAGATCCCCTCTATAAAACAAATCAATAGGCACCCAAATAAGGCACAACCATTAACTCTTCTCGGCCGCTCATACTTTTTCAGATCAAGACAGAATACTCACAAGCAGCACCGCCAAGCACCATCTACCACTCCCATGGTAACACCTGCAGTGCGGAAACGCCGCATCACTAAACCACAAGCATCAGATGGAATTCAAGAACAACCAAAACGAAGAAAAACAGGAATCGACAGGCGATCAAGAATGTTTGCTTATGCATCCATGAATCCCTTACAGAGCATACAAAATACACCAACCACTATGTTTATGGATGCAGAGAGTTACAATACAGAAGATATACAAGCACAAGAAATGCACACTGAAAGTCAGCATACAACAGAAACAGTCTCGAACGAAGAACTGCCAGCCGAAATTGAAGAACCAGAACTTTCATCTCCTTTGCCACCCACACTAAATAATAACATCCTCGATTTGGGACTACCAACTCTGGCTTGCACACATTGTGGTGCACGATTTTGGCCACACGAACAACTTAATTACAATAGGCGAAGCAGCATACCGATTTTCACATTGTGCTGTCAACGAGGCAGGATTCGATTGCCTCTTCTTAAGCCAACACCGCCGTATCTGGATAAGCTTCTGGATGTTAAGGGAGATCAAATGGCAACACATTTTGCCAAACATCGTAGACCATACAATGCAGCATTCTCATTCACATCAATTGGAGCACAAATTGATACAAGACTAATGAATTCAAGAGGTCCTTTTTCATTAGTAATATGTGGTGAGAACTATCATCGCATTGGCTCTTTGTTGCCGCCTATTGGACAAAGACCAAAATTTGCACAATTGTATGTTTTCGATCCATCCACCGAAGTTCAAGACAGAATGGCAAACTTCTCAAGCAACGATAACATTTTGCTTCCAGATATTGTACAAGGCTTGATCGAGATGTTCGACGAAACAAATGAGTTGGTAAAGAGTTTCAGAAGATTAAGGCCCCAGTTACAAGATCCTACAACCGAGAATCTACGACTGAGGATTGTAGGAGCTCGAGTAAAGGGTGCGGAACAATATGAATTGCCAACCGGCCAAGAGCTTGCTGGACTTATCCCTGGAGATTTTTGCCCAGATAAACATGACAGAGACATTATTGTCAACCACAGAAGCGAGGGCCTACAACGAATATCGAGTTTGAACCCCAAATTCGACGCACTACATTTCCCTCTATTATTTCCTTAC